GCGTGGAGCCGTGAATGGGGGTCCCCTGCTCTTCCATGAGTGCTCTAGCTTCCCCCGGCACGGCTGCGTGGAGTGGTTTTGAACGTGCTCTGTGCCCACGCAGTGACGCCGAGCCTGTCCTCCTGCAGGTCTCCACCATCATGTCTGCCAGCACCACCACGCTGCGGTACCCCGGGTACATGAACAACGACCTCATCGGCCTCATCGCCTCGCTCATCCCCACACCGCGGCTGCACTTCCTCATGACGGGGTACACGCCGCTCACCACCGACCAGTCGGTAAGGCAGCCCCGCGGCCTTGGCGTGAGCTGCAGTCGCGTGCGCCAGATCCGGGCCCGTGTCCCGTGCGATGGCTGCGTGCGATAGTGAGCTGCAGGCGCGTGCGCCAGATCCGGGCCCGTGTCCCGTGCGAGGGCCGCGTGCGATAGGAATAAGACGTGAGCAGGCGATGGTGCTCGCGCTGCGTTACCTGCGGCACGCGTTGGGCTGGTGCAGCAGCCGTGGGAGGGTCGGCAGTGTCTGATCTGACAAAAACCACCCTTAGAAATGATCAGAGCAAGCCCAGCACTCGGCCTGCGTTCTGGGAGGGGATCGCTGCCCCTCAGCTGCGTTTAGCTCAGTGCCCCCAGCCCCCCAGTGAGAACGGAGCCGTTCTGTTTTGGGAGGCACTCGCCGGAGGCACTCGCCTGCGTTGGCCGTGTCCCCGCTGTGGAGCTGACGGCTGCTCTTCTCCTCTCCTTGCGTGCGCTTCCTCAGGATGTTGCTCAGAGAAGCAAATCTGAAAAACTGCTGGCTCTGAAACGGGTACTGGGTGTGATCTGTCCTCCCAGCGAGGAGTGCGGGGAGGGCTCAGCAGCAGCCGACGGTGCTGGGAGCGGGGCTGCCATGCGGCCAAGCTGTCCCTGCTGCACGCTTCCCGTTGGGAGACGTGCAGTGGCCAGGCAAAGCCCACGACGGCGCTCGGGGTCCCCTCTCCCGTCCCCAGGCCCTGCTCCTTGCCTTGGCAGGAGAACAAGACAGGACTTTGACAGTGACAGCACGAAACGTGTCCCTGTCACTGAGCTCAGCTGAGCTTCGCCCTCAGCCCCTGCCGTGCTGCAGGGGGGCAGCTGAGCGCCCTCGCGTTGGAGCTTCTACCAGCGCTCCCGCTCCCAGCCTGGCCGTGCCTGTGGTGTAGTTTGGGATTTCTCTGTCCTGCATGTGGCTTTGCACGTGCTCTGTCCCCAGGGTGAGGGCTTCTGCATCCCCGGGGTGAGGGCTGCTCTGTCCAGCTGCCCTCCGTTCGTGTGTATGTGTGTGTGTGAGGCAGCAGGAAGCCTGGGGAGCAGTGCGCCCACTCCCTCTGACTCGTGGCTGTGTTTGCAGGTGGCCAGCGTGAGGAAAACCACGGTCCTGGACGTGATGAGGAGATTGCTGCAGCCTAAAAACGTGATGGTGTCCACAGGCAGAGACAGGCAGACCAACCACTGCTACATCGCCATCCTCAACATCATCCAGGGAGAGGTGGATCCTACGCAGGTGAGCTCCCACAGCCGTTTTGGGTGGCGGGGACAGGCACAGTCACCATCTTCCTGTGCAGGGACCCTGGGGCAAGGCCGAGCGGTGCCCAAGAACTGGCTCTGAGTTGCTCCTGTGTGGGCTCTGGTCTTGTGGAAAGGCCTCTGGAGCCTCCCTGCCTGCTGTTTGCCAAAATCCAGCTTCCTGAGGGTGTTCGTCTTGCGAGGGGCAGCTCCTGGCCCTGCGGGGACCGGACAGCTTTGCCCATCGCACTGCTGCCCCTCACTGCTCTTGTCCCGCCAGGTCCACAAGAGCCTGCAGCGGATCCGAGAGAGGAAACTG